GTGGTAGGTGGGTGGTGAGTGGTGGTGGCAAGTAGGTGGCGGGTGGTGGTGGCAGGCGGTGGATGGTGGGGGCGGGGGGGGGGGTTGTGAATGTGTTGAGTTATCTAGCTGGTTTTCTACAGAGATCTTACATTGTATTCCGATCGACACTTGGCCTCTTCTGAGACCTGTGGTTGAGTTTCATTGGTGCCTCGGTGGTAAGTCCTTTCCTATGGATTAGGTTAAATCAAGTTGGCAACCGGTTATCCTATGATCTAAGCCCACGAATATGCAGTGAGGACATTTTAGAGTATCTTTTTTCTACATTCAAAAAAAAAAAAAATCAATAATAACCTATTTGGGACACCATGTAAATTTGCTCCAATACTCTATAATTTGTTGGGAATATTGCAAATTGAAAGAATATTTGCATTTTTATGGTGGCGCAAATTTCTCATGTGTATGGTGCAAGACCTTCTTGCACTTGGTATAAATCATTTCGTGTCAGAGTTGCACTAGAAAAAATTTCATTTATCATACCATTACTTTTTCATTGTCCCACTAATTTGCAATTTTCACTAATTTCCCTTAGTTGGAAGAAAGTACACTTGTTTGTTTGTCTGTCAATGAGTTCAAAGAAAACACACTAGGATGGTCTAATCTTTCAACCAAGTTTTTCCCCTTTAATTATGTTTTTTATTATTATTTTGACAAGCAAACAATATGAAGCCTAAAAAGTGACACTAATCATGTTCTTCATACATCTCATCCTTGTTTGAAACCTTTAAACGTTGCAATTTTTTTTGCTCATCACTACGTATCACAAACGATACCTTAGTGACATACAAGGGCTCTAACCAACAAATTAATTAACCTTGTTGATTTTTAAACATAGTAAATTAAGTACCTAAAATTCAAATTCATCGTTGTGAAATAAAGTTGGAAGTGACAAATATGTGAGGTCAACATTTTCTATTTAAGAAATACCAAAAATATAGAAATTAAATACATAATCCAATAAATATATGTATAGTGATGAACCGATTTTAAAAGAATTATGTCACATCAATATCCTTTTGTGTCCTATTGTTGTATTTCTAGACTTATTATTTTGATCATGAGCTACTAATTGGCTATGCCATGGACGAAAAAGTTGCACCACTGGATTCTTTGAAATGGTGTGTACATCATCACATGCAATAGAATTGATTATCCATGTGCATTACCACACTTATATGTGTTGCTTATCTAACAATTAATAGATTATGGAACTAGATTTTCTACACCATTAATATTCTCCTCCACAGTATATAAAAATGAATTATTCATATAGTACAGAGAACTAGACATAAAATGAACACAAACACAAATGATTAAAGACAGTGGACAACACTAATTAATGTCCATTTATCTTTGTCTGTTTTGTGTTTAGTTTTCTATACACTTAAACTTTTTCTTATCCATGTCCACTACCTGAATTAGACATTGATAGAACATTTATGTCATATATTAAGCAAAACTAATTTCTAAATTTACAAAGTTAGGCACACAAATTTGGATGTCACTTTCCAAGGAAGAACCATTTAATCAATAATTAATTATAGATAAATTACACTGACACTTCTTGAGATTTGAGATTAATATATCCCACCCCCTGATGTTTATGCTTAATATATGACATAAATGTTCTTTCTTATCCATGTCCACTACCTAAATTAAACCTTGATAGAACATTTATGTCATATATTAAGCATAACTAACTTCTAAATTTACAAAGTTAGGCACACTAATTTGGATGTCACTTTCCAAGAAAGAACCATTTAATTAATAATTAATTATTGCTATTAGGATAAATTACACCGACGCCTCTTGAGATTTAGATTTAATACATCCCACCCCATAACGTTTGAGAAATTATATTCCCACCCCTGTGATTGATAGTCTCATTTTACAAACTTCTTACTCATATAAAAGGCAATAACTTGTAGTAGAAAAATAGAAAAAAATTACGTAATTTTTCAAACGTCAAAAAATAATACGTATTAAATCTAAACATTAGGGGTGTAAGTGTAATTTATCCTAGTTATTTATTAACTTTTTTAAAACGTCAAGTAAAACTTTCCATTCTTCGTACTAAAGCTGTCTATGCTTTTGTTGTGGTTATGCACACGGTTTTGGTTGAGTGCTCAAATTGACATTCTTATACAAAATAGCAAAACTCTGTTAATTGAAGAGAGTAATTTTCTTTTGCTCTTTTGACTAATCTTGGGATGCATGTTTAACAGAAAGTTGTTTTCTTTTGCTCTTTTGACTAATCTTGGGATGCATGTACATTAGTAGTAAACGAATTGACCTATTCAATGTAGAGTAGTGGTAAACGAATTGACCTGCTCAAAAATAACTCAAGCTCGATTTATTTAAAGTTCGTTTAAATTTAATTTATTTGTTAAATGAATGAGTTCGAGATCATTCTTTAGACTTGTTTAATAATCAAGCTTCACCCAATTTGATAGGGCTTGTAAATACAAAAAATATAAATTAAGATTTGCTTTTAATAATATATTGCATATATTTTCATTAATTTATTTTATTTCCCTATGTATGTTATTTGATATTTGTATAAACTAATTCATAAAATTTATTATTAATGAGTATTTTTTATATTTTGCTAATATTTCTCTCTCTCTCTCTCTCTCTCTCTTTCTCTCTCTCTCTTCTTAATATGCAAATTAATATTGAATTTAATTTGAATTTTGATTAGACTCAAGCTTGAGTTTCTCGAACACTTGACAAGCTCAGCTTGAGCTTGATTTTCAATTCTAGCTCGATTAATTTTTAACAAGCTAAGGATGAACACTTCAAAATTCAACTCAGTTCAATTCAAATCGTTTACAATCCTAAATGCATATAATTACTCGTCTCATACATACCAAGTAACCGGTCCAAACTTGAGTGACCTCGGTGAGAAGTGGGGAATGGAGAGAGAAAATTAATTAAGAAATAGGGTTTAATTGCATGTTAAGGCACGTTATCAGAGAGAAATAGAGATGAATTAATCCATTAAAGAAGCGCAGTTATGTGCCTACCTGTTTGCACCATATCCGTTAAAATTGTTTGTCATTTTAAATGAAACAGACAGATATACAGATACAGATTGGGGGGAGGAGGGGGTCTCTTTCGTAGCTTGCTTTCTTGTGAATGAAACAATGGAACCCAACCCATCTCCCCTCTCTCTCTCTCTACACCCCCACCCTCACTTAAATTGATTTTTTAGTATATTTTTTTTTGTAGCTCAAAGTTTGTAATTTTTTTTTGAATTGGAAAGTACATAATCAACTTTTTTTTTAATTTATTTAAATTATTTTTGTTTCATAAGTTATAAACAGAAATACTACTAAATATTTTGGCAATAGCTATTAAAAGAAAAAAAAAATTATAATCAGTCTTATAAGTTACACCAAATAAGGTTAAAGAACAAAATTATGACGGTGGTTGGTGGCGATGGTTGTGATGGTATTATTCGTATGAGACTTATGTTGTGTTTGGTTGGAGAATTTGAGAAGAGATTTGGAAAGGAAAAGAAAAATAGAAAAAATGTGTAAAACTAGATGAAATATTGATATATTTTATTTACATTTTACCTACTTTTTCCCTTTATTTTTTCAAATCCATTCTCAAATTCCACAACCAAACATAACTTTACATTTCATTTAAGAATTGATTTTTATTTTTATTTCTTTTACTATTTACAAAAAAGATGTGTAAAAAAATAAAAAGATATTTTAATTACTAGTCGCCAAACATAGCCTTAAGTCTTGTTAAATCTTGAAAATACTGTGTAATTTTTTTAAAAGTGAAAATTGTTTTTTAATTATTATTATCAAAATGAACTTATTTTTCGGTACTCACAAAAATATTTGTTGATTAATTTTTATTTTTTATTTTTGAATACGCGTTTCCACGGAAACAAATTCGAAAGGAATATTATGTAACCCAAAAATAACATCGCAACACTAACATGAATGAAATGACACCATGAACACAGACCATTTAAAGAATTAATTCAACTAGATGATCAATTTAAAACTGTAAAGAATTCAAAGAATGAATTACAATTATGAAAAAGTATACTAAAAAAAGAATAAATGTCAATAATTCACAATGATCTTGGCTCATGAGCCAAATCCAGGGAGGCTATCCAATTCAGTTATGACAATCTACCAAAGAATTTGCGGAGAAGACGATAACTTGTTCTTTAGAACCAAAAGGAAATTTAGATTCCCGGTGATCATCTTCAGGCGCCGGAAGATTAAGATCCAAGGATAGCACGGCTCTTGGTTTCTTAACTTCTGGCGACTCAGCAGGGCTGTTCATGGTCCTGTGCCGCCTCATGTGACCTCCAAGAGCTTGACCGGACGAAAACTCAGCACCACAGACCGAGCACTCATGAACCCTAGATTTATTTTGAGTAGTGGGCATAACCCTATTTGGGATTTGAAGCGAAAGGGCTGTACTTTCGTAGTCATGAGCTCGATCTTGATCACTTTCTTTCATGAACACCATTAATGGCTTCTTATTTTCTTCTCCCATGGCCTTGGGTTTCTTGTGACTCGCTCTGTGGCCGCCTAGGGCTTGGAACGAAGAGAAGCACCGGTTACACGTCTTGCACTCATAGAGATCAAGCCCGGTGGCCTTGCTTCTTGTTGTTGTTGGTGCCACCACTGGCTCAGGTGATTTAGTGTTTTGGCCTTGAGCCAAAAGAATTAGACAATTGGCCATGTCATGCTCCTCTTCTACTGTGGTGTCGGTGAATTCACCTGAATTGGTGTGGGAAGTGGCGGCACCACCTGAATTATCGCTAACACTGCCCCCACCACCACCACTGCTGCCGCCTTCTGCTATGCTTGATGAGGTGGAGGACATGGTTAAGGCTAGAGGAGAGGCTTGTCTAGGCCGCTTGGTTCGCTTTCCTTTTATAATTTGTGTGTTATCTTTGGACAACATAGCTTCCTCTTGAACCTCCATATCTACACCTTCTAAGAGAGAGAGAGAGAGAGAGAGAGAGAGAGAGAGAGGTGGTTGTTTGATAGTAGTTTTTAAAAGGTGCACTGTGAACAGTGAATGTGTGCGCCAATCTTCTATTGCATTTGCAACCTTGGAATTGATATATATAGGCAATACTATATATTATGATTTATGACAAAGATGTATGTGTTTAGAGAGAGAGAGAGAGAGAGAGAGAGAGGTGCAATGTAAGAAGTTTGAGGAGGGGAGGAAACGAGTGAGATTCGGTTGGCTTTGAAGCAAACCCATTACTTTTTGGCAACGATTCCTTGTGGGGAGGATTAGAGTGCAAGCCTGGCACCCACAGAATTTGCGCTTCCACCACCCCCTCCCCTCTACTTTTTCTCGTCACTCTTTGCCTTTCTTGCTCTTCTTTCTCTCAATATTAAAGTTTTTTTAAATTTTTTTATCACCCTTCTGTGAAATGGTAAGATTGTTTCATTATGATTTAGGTGTCATAAATTGAAATTGCCAAAACAATTGTTCTTTGAGCAATACTACGTATCATGAAAAAACTTTCATGAAAATGATCATGAAAAATTTATGACCTTTAGATTACACTTAAAATAAAGCACCACACACTAATTAAGGTAATCTAAGGGTCATAAATTTTTCATGACCAGTTTCATGAAAGTTTTTTCATGATCCCTATCTTTTCTCTTATTCTTTATGTGGGATGAGATTGCATACATCTACAAAATTGTATCAAAATCTACAATAATGAGAGATTCGTGCACCGAGACTGTTCTTTATACGAGATGAGATTGCATACATCTACAAAATCTGTATCAAAATCTATAATAATGAGAAATTCGTGCACCGAGACTTTTTTTTATCTATATTTATTATTATATTATAATCTCAATATGCTAGTCGGCATGAATACAAAAGTGAAGTTATATAACATTTTTTATACTCGAAAGACAACATAACTTGTTTCTGGTCCACAAGACTTGACAGTCCAATTGGAGTGTCGGGCCTACCACAAGCCCTAATGATTTGATCCGTTTATTTTGTAAATCTCTACGTATAAATCATCCATGAAAAAAATAAAATAAAATAAAAAATCCAATAATTATAGAAATAATAATTTTAAAAATATAATAATATGTTTACAACTATCAAATTAATCTAAAATATATATATATATATATATAATCCACTCATAAAAACTTATAAAATAAACAAATTAGATCATCAAATTGAACTCATGATGGGTCCTACTGATCCAATTGTGCAATTTAAGTTACATTTGTTTTGGCCTGTTGTACATCAGCTTGAGCTTTTTCCCACCTCTGGGCTAGGTTTGGTCTTGTTTTGCATTTTTTTTCTCTGCTTTGTTCTTTTTTTTTTCTGTTTCGGTTTGGTTCCTCTCCAAACCCCTTTCCTCTCCTTTTTGATGTACTCTCATCTTGTATGGTTTGGTCATCAATAAAGGATGGTTTCTTTGGCTGCTTCAAAAAAAAAAAGTTACATTTGTGGATTGGGTATAAGTTCTATTCAGCATGCGGATACTTATGCCTCCACTAATTGAATAAATTTAAATATGAGATAACTATTTTTATTTTTAATCCTTACACCATATCACTCTCTTTGCATCGGAGTAAAAATTTCAAGCATGATAGAATTGCACATACAAAAGAGTAAGTATTGGTGAAGAGTAAGTAAATATTGGTTTAGAGTAAGTTTTTGAGGAAGGTGGATTGTAAGTGTGAAAGTTTAAAAGTTGGGTTTTGAATTAGACACTAACTAAACTAATCAAGCAACTCCATGTGCAGTTGACCCACCCACCTTCTATCATACACACTATTCATCAACTTCTTGGATGCCTCATGACCCAAAATTTGCGCCGGCTATATTGTGCAAATTATTGGATTAATTTTTTTTAATTGGAATTATTAGTATCTCATATTAGGCACTGACTAATCATTAAGGTTGGTAAAGGTACAGACCAATATTGTATTCTCATTTAAACACAAGAATTTTGGATTAATATGATGATTATTATGTTGTCCTGGATCGATGAATTAATTATAAATTTTGAATTTGATAACATGTTAAATGTATTTCACTTGACTTTCTAACATATTAGTTGTTGGGCTATCTTTAAATTCTGAATGTAATTAACTATTGTGATCAAATATTGACAATCTATTGAGACTTGAAATACACATGCTTGTATCCACAGATTTTTGCAGTCAAGTTTGAACCTTATGTATGTCATCAACTTTGTGCACTTGCAAATACATGGAGAACGGAGGATGGAGGCCGGTGGTGACACAAAGAAACAGAGTGATTGGAAGGAAGCATGGAGGTAGAGGTAGCTTGATCACAGTGTTTGTGGATAACTTACCTGAATCAATGGATCCAAGAGGCCTTTTCATGTTATTTAACAAGTTTGGAGTTGTAAGGGATGTTTTTATTCCAAATAAAAGAAGAAGGATATACAATACAAGGTTTGGTTTTGTGCGTTATGACTGCTTAGTGGCTGCAAAAGTGGCAATTCAAAAAGCGAATGGATTGTGGGTAGAGGATAAAGCCATAAAGGTTAAGGAAGCTGATTTCAATAGTGACCAACGCAAATTGGTGAATCAGCCTATGATTGGAGTCACGAACACATCCAAACAAAAGGATTCTTCTGAGGGTGGAACGGTCCAAAATAACAGAGGAGCAAGGAAAACATTTGCAGAAGTACTAACTGGCAGAAGGGAGGTGGGTCAATCAAGGTTAGCGGTGAAAACGCGGGAGGTGGGAAACGCCTGGTTATACGAGAGTGTGATCATTAGATTACATCATCATGTCACGAAGGCAGAGTTCAAGCATGAATCTCGGAGTAGGGGTCTGAGGAAGGGAAGAATTAGAGATGGGGGAGGCAGGGATATTGTTATCACTTTCAGCTCAACCGAGGAGAAAGCAGAGGGAGTGAGCCTAATGCAAGGGTGGATACATGAGTGGGGTGAGATTGTGCTGGATTGGAAAGCTGGTATGCACATTGAGCAAGAGAGATGCACTTGGATCTCATGTTATGGAGTTCCTTTGAATCTGTGGAGTGCAGAAACTTTTACTTCCATTGGAAGGTTGTGGGGGGAAGTGATTGAGTTGGACGAAGATATTGGAGACCCGTTGTCTTTCGTCTGCAGCAAAGTTCGGATTATTACGAAATGCATGGAAGCTATCAATATGGTGATAAGTCTGGAATCCAGCAGTGGAGAGTACCCAGTGAGAATTTGTGAAGAGCAACTAGTGTTCTCTAGATGCATGAATCTGGATAGCCATACTTCAGCAGAGATACATAGCCATGGGGGGAAAAGTGATGGTGCTTCAGTATTCGGCCGTTGCAGGGATGAGGGTGAAGCTGAGGTGGCACCACAAATGGAGGATGAGGTGGACAAAAAAGCTGAGGTGGATAAGGCCCAAGGGGGTAGTGTAAGTGAAGTGGGAAGTGGTGGAAGTGTGAGCTGGCAAAATGCTTCGGTGGTGGCTGAGACGGTGGAAAGTATTGGAAATTCAAATGAAGGCTCCGATAAGATGGTTGGTTCAGAATCAACAGCTGCGAAAAGGTGCAATGATGATATAGGTGTGAGGCTCGATGGGAAGCTGGATGGGCACGTGATTACATCTGGCTTTATGAAGAGCTTGAGTGTAACAGATAAGAGTTGGCCTGAAGTCCAGTTAGAAGTGTGTTTTTCGCAGGCCCATCTGAGAGAGCTTGTGTATGGTGGGCCGATAATGCCGTATTCCAGTCAGGGCAATGGGTTGGGTTTAGTGGGGCAGAACTTTAGTGAGACAAAGGATCTGGCCCATGCAAGCAGCTGTGGGCCGATAGAGAGGGGCTCTACACAGCAATTGTTGAAAACTGCTTCTTCAGTCCGTAAGAGGGCTCGACAAAGGCAGAAAAAAATTTTAAAGCAGCCAAGCTTTTCAAGAAGAAGAGGTCAGAGTGAGTCATTAGCAAGAAGACACTCCCAAAAGGAGGCTTTGTTCAGATCGGCTTCAGTAGCCCTGTCCAGATCTCTAGCTAACAGAAGGAATAGCAGGTCTTCAAATGATGCTCTGATTTTAAATGAAGCTCAGGCCACCGTGAGTATGGGGAAAATACTTGGGGTGGAGTTTGGGCAAGATGAAGCAAGTATTATTAATCGGATTGTACAGCTTGAACAGCAGGACAAAGAAAAAGTGGGGACTCGAATTGGTGCATCTGGGTAAACCAGTATGTAGGCGCTCTCAAGTGTGGTCAGCTGTTTCAATGAAGATTCTTTCGTGGAATATTCGAGGGTTGGGTCGGCCAGAAAAGAGGGGCAAAATCAAGAAAGTAGTAAAGGAAAGAAAGATTGGGATGCTTTTCGTGCAGGAATCAAAGAGATTGTTGGTATCAGAATGGGATATTAGATCCATTTGGGGTAGTGCTCGGTTTGAATATATGGAGGTTGGGTCTCAAGGTAGTGCGGGTGGCATAATCTGTGTCTGGGATCCTGAATTTTTTCAACTACAGGAATGTTGTGGCAACCGGAATTTCCTTCTTCTAAAAGGTACTATCTATAATTCATTTAATTGTGTTTTGATGAATGTGTATGCTCCTACTGATGTTAGTAAGAGGGGGAGGTTGTGGGAAGTTATTAAACAGCTTAGAAGTATTTTTCCTAGCCCGTGGTGTATGGGGGGGGATTTCAATGAAATTAGACTGATTAGTGAACGTATAGGTGTGTCTAGGAGGGATCGGGGAATGAGGGAGTTCAATGCTTTTATTGATTCTTGTGAGCTCACAGATATTCCAATGATTGGAAGGAAATTTACATGGTGTAATGCTCAGGAGGGTGCGATATGGAGTAGAATTGACAGGTTTCTGCTGGACCTTGAATGGATTGAAAGCTTCAATATTAAATTGTGGGGGTTGCCAAAAATTGTATCTGATCATTGTCCAATTTTGTTAATGGAGGATGAGAGGGATTGGGGTCCTAAACCTTTCAGATTTTTAAATGCCTGGATCATACATCCTACATTCTCCAAAGTGGTTAGGGAGGCATGGGAAGAGTTACACATAACAGGCTGGGGTGGTTTTATAATGCTCAAAAAACTTCAACAAGTTAAACAAGTCTTAAAGAGATGGAATAGTGAAGTGTTTGGAACCATATCCGTAAAGTTACAGAGGGCTGAAGAGAAACTACATAAACTTGATTTGATAACTGAAACTAGAGAGCTATCTAATGCGGAGAAATTGAGTAGAAGGGAAATCAGAGATGAGATGTGGAAATTAAGTAAGATGCAAGAATGGATTTGGCTTCAAAAATCAAGGTTAAACTGGGCGCTCAAAGGGGATAAAAATACCAGATTTTTTCATGTCATGGCAAGTTGTAGGCATAATAGAAATGCCATTGGCTCTTTGAATTTTGATGGAATTGTATATGATGAGCCAGTCCGAGTTAAACTTGAAGTGTTTAATTTTTTCAAAGCTCATTTCACTGAAGTGTGGAAATTTAGGCCAAAATTAGGGGGTAGTTTTAAATCTATAGGCAGTCCAGGAGTGGAGGCTTGCATTGAAGCAGAATTTTCTGAGGAAGAAATTTGGGCGGCAGTAAGAAGTTGTGATGGGAATAAAGCTCCGGGGCCAGATGGATTCAATATGCTGTTCTTTCAGAAATGTTGGAAGGTGGTAAAGAAAGAGGTTCTCCAGTTTATGCAAGACTTTTACCGGTATGGTAAATTGGTGGGTGGGGTAAACAGCTCTTTCATTACTTTAGTGCCTAAGAAGGAGAATCCTATTAGTCTTGGAGACTACCGACCAATAAGTTTAATTGGGTCTGTGTATAAGATTCTTTCTAAGGTTTTGGCTAACTGAATAAAGATGGTAATGCCTAGAATAATTAGTGAAGAGCAGTCAGCGTTTGTGGGAGGTAGAAGTATTCTTGATGGAATCTTAATTGCAAATGAAATTGTTGACTGGTGGAAGAAAACCAAAAGAAGTGGTATTATTCTGAAACTTGATTTCGAAAAGGCCTATGACTCTGTAAATTGGTCCTTTTTGCTATCCATGATGAAGAATTTTGGGTTTGGAGCAAAGTGGCTGGCTTGGGTGCAGGAGTGTATATCCAACATTCGAGTCTCCGTTCTTGTGAATGGCTCCCCCACATCGGAGTTTAGCCCATCTCGAGGTCTTAGGCAAGGGGATCCCCTTTCCCCTTTTCTTTTCAATATGGTAGCTGAGGGCCTTAACATCTTGTTGACAAGGGCTAGGGAGTTAAATTTATTCAAGGGTGCTATTCTTGGGGCTAACGAAATTTCTGTGTCCCATCTTCAATTCGCCGATGATTCTGTTATTTTTTGTGAGGCAGAATGGGGGGAAGTAGTGAATATTAAGAGGATTCTGCGTTGTTTTGAACTAATCTCCGGGCTTCGGATCAACTACCACAAGAGTGTAATTTCTGGCGTCGGGGTGCAAGATGACCTGTTGGAGGAATTTGCTGGTAGACTGAATTGTAAGTGTCAAAAGCTGCCTTTTAAGTATCTTGGGATGCCTCTTGGGGCTAATCCCGGGAGGTTGAAGACTTGGAAACTTGTTGTGGATAGAGTTAAAGTTAAGTTGGCAAGTTGGAAAAGAAGGTTCTTATCCCTCGCAGGAAGACTAACTCTTATCAAAGCAGTATTGTCTAGCCTCCCAGTATATTATCTCTCTCTGTTCAAGATACCTGAAGGAGTTGCTAAAGAGCTAGACAAGATTCAAGCCGCGTTTTTGTGGGGTGGATCGGTGATTAAGAGCAAGATACATATGGTTAAATGGTCCGAAGTCACTAGAAGTGTTATTAAAGGAGGGTTAGGCATCAAGAGTCTTAGGGATGTTAATGCTTGCTTGCTACTTAAATGGTGGTGGAGGTTTGGAGGTGATGAGAATTTGTTGTGGAAGAAAGTTTTATGTGGGAAATATAACATCCAAGGCAGCAAGTGGTACCCAAATACGGAAGCATCCCAGATGCATTCCCGGTTATGGAAGGATATACTCTCTGTGGCAGCTTCAAGCCCTGGCCTGCATAGCTTCTTTATCAGCAATACTTTCATATCGGTTGGTAATGGGGATAGAACTCTCTTTTGGGAGGATAAGTGGGCTGGTGCTAGGTGTTTAAAAGATGATTTTCCTCGACTATATCGTATCTCCCCTGATAAGCTGAAAACAGTCATGCAAGTGATTGATTTAAGAAGGAGCTTGTACGATTGGGAGGAATGCTTTACTAGAGTACTCCGAGATTGGGAAAAGGAAGAGGTGTTTTGTTTGTTTACTTTGGTAAGTAACAACCGTGAATTGAGAGCTGATAAGGTTGATGGTTTTTGTTGGGGGGCTGAAAACTCGAACTGCTTTAGCGTCTCATCTGCATATAGGTGGTGTGAGAATAGTCTAGAATCTAATGACTATGGTACTATCTCCAAGATGATATGGCAGAATGTTGCGACTCCTAGAGCAAAAGCTTTTGTGTGGCTAGCTTGGAGGCAAAGGTTAAAAACGTCATCCTTCCTTCAACGGATTGGTGTCATTCCAGTTACTGCTAATATCCAATGTGTGTTTTGTAAAGCTGAAGTAGAGGCTGTCAATCATGTTCTGTTGTGGTGTCCTTTTGTTTGGAGGGTGTGGGCTGATATACTTCTCTGGTGGGGATCTCAGTGGGCAATGCCGGCAACAGTGGATGGAGTTTTAAAGTTTTGGGCCGGATTTTCAGGTAATAGTTTTGAGAGAAAAGTCTGGAATGTGTTGCCTATAGCTTCCTTGTGGTCTATTTGGAAACACAGGAATGAGGTGTTGTTCTCTGATAGACAACCAGATCTGCATGGTCTATGTGATTTAATTAAATCCAGGACTGCTATGTGGGTTAGAGCTGCGGACCCGAAGCTGCCTTTCTCTGTTAATGAGTTCTTGTTTAACTTACAACAAATTAAGTTTTGTCGAAGAGGGATAGGTTGATGATCTTCTCTTCAACTGGAGACAGATTAGGGGTGGAAATTAGTGTTTGGAACTGATTTACATATATCTGGGCTGAAGTAGGATTGTTATGCTGTCATCTGCATTACCTCTAAGCTGCTGCATTGTCTGTCTGCTGTTGCTATCTGCTCTAAGCTGCTGCATTGGGCTGAAATATGCTTGTTAATCTGTTGGTTCTGCTTCGGTTGAAGTTCTGGTGGCAGTGTCTTCAAAGCAAATTTTGGCTTTGAACAGTGTAGTGTTAATCTGCCTCGTCCAAATCTTGGCTGCTTCGGTATGCACTGAGGGTGAATGCTGACTGCTGATTTGCTGGAACTCCCCGTTGCTGAATTCTGAATTCTGTGCTGCTTCTGAATTTTCTGCAGTTTGATTCTTGCTGGAATTTTGCAGTTTCATTCTGCTTCTGCGCTGCTTCTGCATTATGTCTTGAGCTGGTATTGTTGGTAGGCAGTGGAGTGGAGGGTGTTGATTGCATTCAGCTGGGCTGGTTTGTGCAGAGGAGGAGGATTCAGAATTATGGTGTTAGTTGTTTCAGATGGCAACTGGGGGTTGTAGTTCTACTAGAGCAATTAGGTGTATGCTGGCTCTAATTTTGTTGGTCACAATGGGTTTGCTGCTGGTATACTCCAACAAGTATCTCTTGCATAATGTTTTGGTTGCTATTCTATCAGATCTCAACAGAGATGTGTGGTGTGCAGCATTGGTGCCAAATTTTGGTGTGTGGTTTGGTTGTAGGGCTGCAGCTGATTGCCTGTTCTGGTTTTGGTGTTTTAGTGTCTAAGCTATCTGCTTTTTTTGGTTTTTTTCTCTGTTTTGTATGCTCGTTGGTTCCTCACCAACTAGGAGGTTGGAGCTTGTTTTTAGCTCCAAGCTCCTCTTTATTGATGTAAATTTTCCTCTTCCATCAATAAAGTTTTTTTGCCGATCAAAAAAAATAAAAAATAAAAAATAAAAAATTTTGATGTCTCTAATCTTACACCACCCTCTTATTCAGGTCATCCAACGTGAGCCATGGGAACACATCAATGATGAGGACATAAAGAAAACCGATGCATCCTTTTGTGGGGAGATATGGCAAGTTCCTCCAATGTTTTCTGCCATCAAAGTAAGTTTTTCTCCTTCATTTTGTTACAAGCTTGCTGAAACAGGAAGAGAGTCGTTGCAAAAGAATGGCATATCAGTTCCAAATGAGTTTTGTCATACAATGAAAGTAAGTGAATTGATCTATTGACTTTTCGTAATAAAGGTTTTTAATTTTCTAGATGAATATGGGACTGAAGTATTGGTATAAGAGTTATTTTCATCCTTATCCTTTTGATTTTTTCATTCAACCTCTTTTGTCCCTACTTATGGTGTAATAAGGTATTTTTGAGATATAACTTTCTTCTTTGGCTTTTGTGTTGATTTCATATTGGCTCAATTTTGGCATTGCTTGTATAGTATTTTGATGTAGATGATCATGCATAGTGCATATGGTTGTAGTGACGTTACATTTAGCCAAGTTACTTCATTTGAGACTAAATTTTGGCATCAATTGCATATTATATTGTATTAAAACCAAAAGAATATAATTGAACTTTGACAATATGTGGATGTAGATGGTTGCCTATAGCACAATTCAATGAAGCATAGTTACATATAGGTTAGTTACTTACGTTTGACTTTATGTTACATGAACAAGTTGTGAACCTTTTGGACGCAACATCACAAGGTTGGGAGCATGCATAGTACCATTTTGAAACTAGATAATGCACTAAAGTCAAAATGCATTTCAAATAGGAGTGTTAAACAAAGCAGAACATAATTTTTTTTTATATTGCTTTGCTTCATGTTTACTTGGATATATAGACCCGATTATTGTAGCATAATGGAGATGAAGTATTGATACATAACCAAAAAATTAAAAAGACCAGGCAAATAGTAAGAACAAAAAATGGTAAAAAAGGACACACGTAGACCCTTTGCTTGTCAAATGGTGTAAGATACAAATATGAATGCAAACCTGAATTCAGCTGTGTTCTTTTTGCCTAAAATTTGAGAAGAAAATGTATGAAACACATTCATGTGGCATTAACTAGGATTGATAATCAAATCATTTTATTTATTTATTCATAAGGTCTATGGTATGGCACATAAAATGGAAATTGCACATAAATGTAATAGGAAATTTCTCACAAATTTTTAGGTTATAATTATTGCTTGTAAGGTATATAATTCATATGTTCCTTCACGTTCCTTAGAATTATGTGTGACAATGATATGGTATTGAAATGGCATTGTGTGGTTGTATGATTGTTTATATGTTTCTACACCTTGTGATAGGTTGGGGGTGAGAAGATGTATGAAAAAGCAAGAAGAGGAGAAAGCATTGAACTTCCCCCGAGGCGGATTTCAATTTTCCAGTTTGATATCAAGCGAAGTTTAGATGACAGGTTGTCTGAAGCTCAGCTTGTTGCTTTTGTATAACCTATTTATCACATTAATGTTGTCATGTACTAATTGTGGGTTTTTTATATGGTGGTTCTGCTAGCCTGAGATGGATCTTATTTTGAATCCTTGCAATTCTTTCTTTCAGTGATAAAAACAAATAAATGTCATGCTTATTGTGCTCAAATAATTTCACATTGGTGATTACCTTTTGAAAATTAGATCAAATGTTGTTTGAAAATGAAAATAAATTAATATTCAGGAACTTTTGAGAACCTTTCCCTCATTAGTGGGAAACAGAGATATAATTTATGTATACTAGGAAAAGTGTCTATATGAACTGATAAAGGACATTGACTGATGAACTTAATATGCTACATACTATCGTGTAGCAATAATCTTGTTGCTTTTGTAAGTTTGTCTTATTTATCGCAGACAAAATTTGATTTTCTGGGTGACATGCTCAAAGGGGACATATATTCGATCTCTTTGTGCAGATCTCTGGAAGGCTCTGAACAGGTAGTGTAAATAGTCAATTCTTATTTATCAAAAAAAAAAAGAAAAGAAAAGAAAAGTCAATTCTTATTTTTTGTTCTTGTATGATTTCTTTGGTCATTGTTCTAGCATCTCTCTCTCTCTCTCTCTCTCTCTCTCTCGTGGCTTATTGTGGTCGTTCCGCTGAAAGAACGGATTGTTTCTTTGACTTCTGCCCATCTTAATTGCATTTCAAACAAAAGCTGAAATGATGTGTAGTATTGAGATTTAGTTGTTGAGAAAGTAATTATTCAAAACATTGTATAAACATGAGAGCTGCTTCTTTAGAGTTTTTATTACTCTTTAGCCTGATATGTATAGAATCTATTTTCCTTTGTTTACAGATACAAATTCCTCTCAAGATAGAGAATGTCATATTAATTAAAATCTCTATATTGCATTTATGTAGCTATTTTCTCCAATCTTCACTTCAGTAGAAATAACCATGACTGAATGTTTTTTTTGCAGTTGTGACACACACCCATAGAGAGAGTAAGTGTGGACCCCACATTCTCCCGCATGCACACACACAACGGGCTGTTGAAAACTTGAAATATTTTATGGAAACAAGCATATAGTGTGTATGGTGGATCCAAAACACACTTGAACTAACTTTAAGATTGAATAGCTGCACTCAAATATAGCCCCTGTTAGAAAAGTGTCTGATGGAAAAATAGAGATTGGAGGGATTGTTGAACTCTATAAAGCCATCCCTTTCAATGAATTAAGGGGTCAAAATGAAGATGTTTCTATTGGATCAGTAGTGAAAAAAGAAAAAAAAGAGATATGGTATGAAAACGAATGTACTTTGTAGCGTGATTATCAATGAAAAAATTTATTTGATATATTTTATTATACTTTTTAATTTTTTTGTTTGCTGACTTTTTTTACTAGTGGCTACGACTTGTGATTGTTTTCATGATTCTCTTATCAGTTCTGTTAATATAAATTTTATTGGTGGCTAATTGATTAGTTAACAATTGCAGACACAAATGAAAGAGCTTGGGGCGCAATCCAATGACATTTTATTCATGTTGTTTGTTCTTATCAAATGCAGGTTCACATATCAAAGAAAGAAAAGAAAAAGAAGAAGAAGAAGTAGATATGACAAACTCAATGAAAAAAAGGCCGTTGGAGTCAATTGAATTCAAGGTTAGAATTGTTCCTAATTTTAGTTTTTGTGAATTTTATTTTATTAATGAAGTTGAATTTTTTTAGGATTTTATTCTTAGTTTATATTTGTTTCCTTATTGGAATTTATTAGTTTGGTTTGCCTATATATTGTTTTGGATGAACTATATATATATAAATATTTGGAGATAAAAAAAAGATTTAGGCACTCTATGATATAGTATTAATTTGCTCAAAGATTTGACTGCTGCAATTATTGCAGTACCATGTTGTCATAACATTTGTTGTTTTTATTTTTAACTTTAATTTTTTTTTAAATTGCGTTTAGTGCTTTGGAAATAATATATCATGGATCTCAAATTCTAGTACACAGTGTCTTCAATTGCCTTGGTGGACCAAGAATCCTCTGCTTGTGTCATTTTAGATGTCAACGAGGTCTCATGAGCTTTATTGTTGGAAGGCGTGTCTGAATCTATTATTTCATAAAAAGATACAAATATTTTGGTCAAAATACCTATAACCCAATGAATGGTGTAGGAGGAAAAAGGGAAAAACCTTGTGTTGTTTTTGGATCATGGATTTGGATAGGATTTGCAAAAATTTCCAAAAAGAAAGGGAAATAGAAAAAAGGAAAAGAAAAAAAGAGAGGTTATATTTAATTCACATTGTCATTTCCTTCTCTTTTTCCCTTTTCAAAGTTTTACCCAAATTCATTATGAATGATCTTTCCTTAAATTAAGTTCATTATGTAGCAGTAGCTGTCACTAGGTGACATTACCTGTATTTTTTAAAGTTATTCAAAACCCTCATGTAGATATTATGCATCCTAATAAACTTGTTAGCTTATGAGCTACATCATTACATTAGTTAAACAACATTTATACTTTCTTATTTTGAAAGGTGAGGAACAAGAAAAACATACAATCCTACCATCTACCATCATTGTTTCTTTTATTTTCCTTCCTTAGCCTTCCAATCATTTGCATCCATATATGACTATATTTTTTAGTTGCTTTTGATGATAACTTTTTGTTTTTTGCTTCTTTCTCAGTTTCAACTTTGCGCTTTCCTTGGCTTTGTTCAGTGCTTCAATCAATTCCTTTAAGCAAGTCTCTTTTGAAGCAGTCTTTGGTATCAAGTTCTCTGCAACATCACAAGGACTCATATCAGTTTTGTGCAATAAGTTGTCTCTGTTTTGTAGATAATTACAGTTGTTGTTTGTCATTCAAGAAAGGCTTTTTAATATCTCTATTATGTGATATACTTTGGAAGATCAATGTGATATATTATGTGTAGTAAAAATCTCATGAAATGTGCAATTAGTTAAATTCTTTGGTTTATACTCTATTTCCAAAGTTGTAGAATGAACCTTGTAGTGCACAATAACATTTATTTTACAGCAACTACATATAGTCACAGAGATTGCCAACTTTGGTATTTTATTTCATATTCTTGCAGCAGTAGCAAAAAAAAAAAAAAAAAAAAAAAAAAAAAAAAAAAAAAAAAAAAGTGGCGCTTTTTGAAAAACGCCAATAAATGACGTTCATATCCTTGCAGCAGGACAAGGGAAAAAAAAGTGGCGTTTTTTTAAAAACACGACTAAATGATGTCATCGTGACGTCACGCGTTAGTTTGTGACTGTAGGTGAGACGGACGTCAAAAATTTTGCGGCGTCTAATATTTTTAGCGACGTTTTTCAAAAGGTTGGAAAGCTATTACGGCAGCCATATTACCGACGAAAATATTAAACATTGCTATAAGATTTTACGGCATTTTTCAAGCTTTTAGCGGCGTTTTAAAAATGCCGCTAAAACTCGAATTTCTTGCAGTGATAATAAGATGAATTCATCAATAAAGTTTCTTTTAGCTGTTAAAAAAAAATGATCTCCAATTGTTTTGTAATCTAGTTAATAGCATCAATTTTATCCAATCAATTTTATTTGTACAAGATATACATGTTGCCCTACAAATTTGACTTAATTACATTAAACTCCCCTAAGCTTATACTTTTTAGTTGAGTTTCATATGCTAACCATGAAATATATTTTAAGATCGCTCTGGGTTTGGGGAGCCAGATAAACAAGTCAATTTTTTTAGTGCTTTTCTTTTTAAATTGTGTAAAACTTTATTATTTTTCATGTTCATATTATGTAGACGAAACTATAAAAAAAAATTAAAAAAAAATATTGCAAAAGTTCCTTAAGATTTAAAATTAAAATTTCCACTTTATTTTTTTATTTTTGTTTTGTTTGTTTTTTTTTAGAATTTTTAATTTTTTAATTTGTCTCATAAAGTATAATCTAGAAGCCTAAACTTTTTTTCGAATTTTTTTTAAAAAAAAAATTAGTAAATTCGAACATAAGCAAACAAAAAAAAGCGCTAAAAAAACAAATTTCAAACACCCACAGCCAAGCTCCATTTATATTATTAGAGATAATATTTTGTAAAGAGATTAATCGAAGAGGATTCGATCATTTGTTTACCTTGTCATTCATCACCATTGTATTAAAATATAGTAAACATAAAATGGGATTGTTATTATTATTCTTTTGTTTTAAAAAAAAAAAATCAATCTTTTGTTTACTCATAAACAACCACAGTGCAGCCACTCAGTGAACGTCTCATGTTGATGGGATCTACTACAAAAGCAGCAAAAACCTCATCATACAAAGTCATACATACTTTACGGGAAAGAAATAAATCTTCTCGTATAATCCTGTTAATCAAGTCTGCGCTCCTCTGTACGACGTCGCTTTACTCCCTAAAAACACAAACGTGAGCTAGCCGGCGGGTGTGCGCCGGATACCTCTCCGATGCCTAAGTCAGCAAAATAGACGAATAGACAAAAAGCTCTGCGTATTCGAGAATTAAAGTTGTGTTACCTCTCCATAGGTGATGTTAGTGAGCTTTTATAGGTTCCGCGCGGCACAATCCTAGTAGGACTTTTACTCCTCCATGCAGAGTCCTTCTAGGATTCATACTCCTGAAAGATAATGCTTATCCTTCAACACCCCCTCACTGCTTAAACCAAGTGAGATGGTTCTACCATGGTCGAGTTCTAATAGGACCGAGGTAATCATGGCTATGCTGAGCCGCAGAGTAGGCCGAACTATCTTTAGTTCGGTTCTTCTTTTCACTACTCATTATCTTGGTTCCTGATGTACAAACCATGGCATGATTAGACCGAGCTACCGAATAGTAAGGTTCTGACCGGTCTAATCCATAATACCATGACCGGGCTAACTCTGAGACCGGACTAACTTCAAAGCGTCTTTGGACCGGCCTAACTCCAAGTCTCTTCTGGACCGGACTAACTTCGGGGCTCTGGTACCGGACTAACCTCAAAGCCTTTGTACTCAGCCCTTCGTATTGTGGCCCATGACGGCCCATTGCCCATCTCGGCCCAATTTTCATATAAATTACCCTCTCAGTTGTCCCTTAATTCCATCTGCGTAGAATGATAGGGATTACATGTTTTACCAGTCGAGCTAAGGTTTTTAAGCCTTTCCAGCCGAACTAAAACCCTTTAGCTTTTCCAACCGAGCTAAAAACTCTTTAGCCTATCCAACCGAGCTAAATCCACATCGGGCTGTACTTGTTCGGTCAAAACGTCTCTTCAATCACAGCAACTAAATCGCTTCTCATTCCAATGGACACGTGGCAGACTTTTATTGGCCCTGCACTGCTGTCACGCTGTTCTTCGTACTTCATAACTTTTGAACAGTCCCGCCAAAAAGCCTTACACAAAGTAGAAACCCCTTTTTTCCCCGAATCACTTCCAACACTACTCATCTTTTCTTCCTCTTGTTCTCTCTCTTGCTTGCGTCTCCATTGTTTTGCATCTGTGAAGCTTGCGTTTGTGGCTATTTTCTACTTCCCTTTCTTTCCTCTTACCTTGGTGAGTAACACAAATCTGTTCTATTTTCTGGTTTTCGCACTTTTTTAGTCCATAACACTTGTTTTATGTGTTTTTGCAAAACATTTTGCACTTCCATTTTCTGTCTTGTCATGCATCTTCTGCAAAAACTTAGTAATAGAGCCCCTCTATTTCAAGAAATAACATGAAAAACACTAGTTTTGATACAAAATCACAATATAACCGAACTAGGAAGTTATTTGTAGTGGATGTCGGTCTAGCCGGACCAACCAACCGAACTAACACTTTATGCTGAGTTAGTAGTTTCACCAAGTCAAACCACCTTTTGCTTCATTTAATTTAGCCGAGCTATCGATCTATACTAGGCTTGCGCAATAGTATACCTGAAAGTCCAAACCATGACCGAGCTATGACTAGGGCTAAACCAGCCTTCGTAGTTCGGTTGAACTACGGTTGAACTACGAGTGCTGCCCCTAGAGGCTCAACCGGGCTAACAAAACCCTTGGACGAACTGAGATAACGAACCCCTTGTATAAACCGAGCTAACACCCGTAGTTTCTCACATAACCGAGATAGGACTTCATTTATTTTACCTTGATTTCTCTTTAGCATGGTCCATCGATCTGTGCATAACCCCTTTCTTTTTTCACTTTACAGACTTAGGTTGCCAGGCACTCCTTCGCACGCTCAACCGAGCTGCTCAGCGTCATTTTTTAACCGAGCTAACACAGTTAAATTACACATAACTTAAGAGTAAATGGTAAATATAGGTTTTTAGTAGAAACACCTGGTGGCCTGGCCGAATTTCGAAGGGAGTATAACATTCCTGACGATGTCCATCTCACCTTAGCCGAACAAGATATCGTACCCTGGGGAAACCCTGGTTTTGTTCCCTTCACCCTCCTTTCCATTGTAGAAACCGGCCTAAGATTCCCTGTATAGGCCTTACTTTGTGAATTCCTTAGACAAACTAGGATATGTCCAACTCAGCTTTCCACAAACTCATACCGCATAATAAATGGTATAGCCGAGCTAAACCACCGAGCTGGTATTAACCTTGGCTTAGCCGAACTCTTCCATCAATATTCCATAGTCTCCAAGGAAGACGGGTGGGTCTATTATCTAAGAATACGACGCCGGCGTGAGAAAATAATAAAGGACACACCGGACAAAGACCTAAACGATGACGATTTTTTCTGGGTATTTGGTAATTTTGAAGACCACCAAGCCCATATCCAAGGCCACAATATAAACTGGAAGAAAGGAACCCCTGGTATAACTACCTCGGCTTCCTTGGCTGTCTCCCTTTATTTCGGTTTCTAGTCCCTGAACCGAACTGACAGTTGTCTTCTTTATGCAGATTCGGCCCACCTCAAGTCACTGTACAGTTATCCCAACCTAAACACACTTCGCGCCGCACTTCGGTATTCTGAAAGAAGTTGAGCCGACGTACAAATACAGCAGCCGACGCAAGGCCAGAGTAACAGACTTTTTGCTGGAAGCCTCTCCAGAACCAGATCCATCCTTGCCTCAGATCAACCTGGTCCGAACTACAGCCGAAGAAGAGATGGAAAAGAGGAACAGAGTAAGGGCCCTCCTAACCGAAACCAACCGAGCCGAAGTACCACCATCCAACCAGGCTCAGGAAACAGTGGTGGCCCTTCTATCTCAACAACCCTCTTCATCACGCCCAAGAAAGCGCGCCCGGACTACCCAAACCAAGCAACGCGTTGTTGATAAAGATGAAACCACTCTTCCACCAAGCCCTCCACCGAGCCCTCAGCCGGAGCGTTCTGACCGGGCTAGCTCCTCCAAGTGGGCTCCGAAAATGACTTTCCAGAATCGAGATATCCAAGATACTGATTCTGTGGTCCCTGAGAAGGATCACATGATGGCATTCAACCTTGCCAGGAGTGTTTGCCTTCCAGCAGACATGGAGCATCACAAAAATTTGACCGAGCTAAAGGCCATCCGCTCGGCCACCAAATCCATGGTGCTCGTAAGTAGCTGTTTCTGTTTAATCTTTCTGATTTGTACTTCTTTTATCTCGGTTTGATTTCAAGTCTCCCTCTTTTTGCAAGCCATGCAGAAGAGTCACATCGCTCATAAGCGAGTGCTTGAACTCCGTAAGACTACAAGGCAAGCGCTGGCCGAAGTAACAGAAAAAATTGCCGAGCTAGAACAAGCCAGGCAACAAATAGCTGAGCTAAAATCCGAGAACAGTTGTCTGACCAGTCTTGTTAGCTCGGCTGAAGCAGAAAAACAAAAGGCTGCAGCTGTAATCAAAGACAAGTATCTGCGCGAACTTGCTAAACTTGAGCGCAAGAAAAAGGCCGAGATAGAGCAGCTGAAGAAGGATGCTGATGACGCCGAGCTCCAGGGTTTCAAGGAGGGGGAGGCGACTTACATTAAACAATGTGAAGCTGCCAAGGATCTCTTCTTCAAGTGCGGTTGGAGGGCGGCTGTAGAGCAG